AACGAAAGCGTGACAAGTTTTGTCGAAGATGTCCTGCGTCTAAGTTCCCGGGCCGATCCGGAGGCCGCCGCCGAGAAGAAACTTCACGCTCTCATGCATGGCGTGAAGGATGTAATTATCGGAGAATTGGTACGCAAACCCCCGACGACTGTCAATGGTTTTGTAACCGAAACCATTAATATCGAGCTTGTTCTGACAGACCGATAAAGCCACTACCACCGAATCACCGGCGCGCCTGCTGCTTCAACTGTCGCTGCTTCTCTTCTTAACCTGAATGCCAGCGGTGTCGACAGCCTTCGGGAGATCGTCCGCGAAGTCGTCCAGGAAGAACTCCGCAAGATGCTCCACGCTGCGGATCGCCCGTCCTCACTGTCGCTAGCCGAGGTCGCCCGAGAAAAAGTTCTCCGAGCCTTCCGACCTGAGGTTCCGATCAACACGACGACGCCAGAGGAACCGACTTTGAGCTACGCTGCCATTGCCCGACGACCGCCACAAGCTAACCGTCAGGCCACGGCGCCACCCCGACGAGAACCTCTGATGTCGCAGTATCCTTGACGCCAGGAAGGACAAGTCCAGGACGTCCGCCCGGAGCGACCCTCGCCGAGGAAGATCGACGTGTGGCGAACGGTCGACCGACGGCCGCTCTGCTACCACTGCGGGGAAGCCGACCAAATCTACCGCGGCTGCCCTGCCGTCGACTTGGGCTGCGTGGTTCTCACCCGAACGACCAACGCCCGAGGTACGGCGAACGCCCCCGCGATATCGAGGAGTACCTACGACGCTCCCAATCTTCGGTGCCGTCTCTCCGCCGTGAATCTCGCTCGCCATCAACACGACGTTCAGCGTCTCCAGCGCCACGACCCCGCCGAGAAAGCCTGTCTACCCTGCGTCGCCGGGAAAACTAAGTGCGGCAACGCCTGGATGCGGTGTTGCCGAAGACGACCAAAGTAAAAAGCCTCCAAGAACGCCGGAGCTCTCCCACTTCCCGACGCCACGCATTGCAACGGCACTTCTGCAACGGTGCCCAACAACCTAAAAGTTGTTATCGATGGCCACGACGCATCTGTTCTCGTGGACACCCGAGTAGACCGAGAGAGCCTCCCACTCAAGACTGAATAGTTTTGAGTGGGAAGCTCTCTCACCACCTGTAAAAAGTTACGACACCCTGGGGAGGACCACAAATTCCAACAGCCGAGGGACACCTTATCAGGCCTGTCGGAAGGTGCACTGCTCGCGTCGAAATTCACGGCGAAACGTGTCCTGTGAAGATCGTCGTTCTACAAGACTGTTCCAGAGACGTCATTCTCGGCATGGACTTTCTCTGTGAATACGGCGCCGTCATCGACCTTAATGAGAACAGGTTGACGCTGCGGACGCCTGTTTCGCCTGTAAAGATACCCCAAACAGGGCCAGCCGCCATCTGAATCGCTGTCGACCACGTGAACCTGCCGCCGCGTTCAAGTGTTGTCGTACCCGTCGTGACCGATGTAGCTACCTGCGGCAAAGTTGTTCTGCAAGGAAACTTTTAATTGCTCCTGGGAAGAGGAATAGGCGTCGCAAAAGGAGTAGCTGAACTTCAGGATGGCCGCACTGTGGTCCTCATCACGAACTTCCAAAAAGAAACGCAACACCTCACGAAAAGTGGAGCCGTCGGCCACGTCGAGGAACTGCGGAGCTTCGCCGAAATCGCGGCGATTAGAGAAGAATCCTCACCACCTCAGCAAGACAGTACGTCGCCAGAGCAGCTCGACATTGACCCAAAGCTTGCGGACCCGAAAAGTCGGCAGCTTATTTAACTCCTCGCCGAATTCCGCGACTGCTTTGCGACGTCGTCAAAGGTGCGCCAAGTCGCCGTTGCCAAGCACCGCACCATTACCGAGGACCACGCGCGCCCCGTGCATCGATCGCGGTACAGAGTCTCCGTAAAAGAAAGGTAGGTGATCCAGGAGCAAGTTCAAGAGATGCGGAACGACGACATAATCCAACCTTCAAGCAGTCCATGGGCCTCTCCAGTCGTTCTGGTAAAGAAGGACGGAACGCTTAGGTTCTGCGTGGACTACCGGCAGCTGAAAGCGGTGACGCAGAAAGACGTCTATCCACTCCCCCTCATCGACGACACGTCGGACCGGCGCGCCACTCTCGATACTTTGCATCGATGAACCTGAAGAGCGGCTAGTGGCAGATCAAAGTCGACGAACGGGGCCGAGAGAAGACAGCTTTCGTCACGCCGGATGGACTGTATATACGAGTTTAAGGTGATGTCCTTCGGACTATGGACGGCGCCAGCAACTTTCCAGCGTGTCATAGACACCATATACTGAAAGGACTGAAGTAGCAGAGCTCTCTCGTCTACCTCGACGACGTCGCAGTGTTTTCCGGCGACTTCGACGAGCACTTGCGACGACTCCGGGCTGTTCTCCAAGCCATACGGACCGCCGGACTCACCCTCAAGCCGTCAAAGTGTCGGTTCACCTATGACGAACTGAAGTTTCTAGGTCACGTGGTTAGTAATGATGGCGTTCGCCCAGAGCCTGAAAAGACTCGCGCCGTCGCGTCATTTCCAGCGCCGACAGACAAGAAGGCCGTGCCAAGATTCCCTGGACTTTGTGCCTACTATCGTCGCTTCGTTCGAGATTTCGCAAGGATTTTCGCACCGCTCATAAACCTCACGAAGGACGCCGAGAAGTTCGAATGGGCCCAGGAGCAGCAGCAGGCATTCGACGAGCTAAAGCGACGACTCTAGACGCCTCCTGTTCTTTGACATTTCGATCAGGCTGCGGAAACCGAGATTCACACTGACGCAAGTAACGCAGGACGTGGCACGGTACTAGTTCAAGTACAAGAAGGCGTTGAGCGAGTCATCGCCTACACAAGTCGGACACTGTCCAAGGCGGAGAGGAATTACTCTGCGACTGAGAAAGAATGCCTTGCGTTCGTCTGAAAAACCACGAAGTTTCGTCCGTACTTGTACGGAAGCTCCTTCTGCGTAGTCACGGACCACCACTCGCTCTGCTGGCTTTCGAACCTCAAGGACCCGTCAGGACGCCTCGCTCGATGTAGCCTCCGACTACTAGAGTTCAACACGACTGCGGTTTACTAGTCAGGACGCAAGTACAGCGACGCTGACTGCCTGTCCAGGGCCCCTGTCGAAACACCTTCCGGCAGCAGCGGCGACGATGACGACGAGTGCTTCTTAGGAGCAGTGAACACCGACGACATGGCACGACGTCAACGAGACAATCCGGAGCTGCGTGCCTTAATCGAGCACCTGGAAGGGCGCGGGAGTACCGTGCCCCGTGTTTTCTCACGAGCCCTGCCGACCTTCGCCATTCGACAAGGTGTACTCTACAAAGTGAACTTCGGGGACAACAACTCGCCGTAGCTGCTGGTAATCCCGATCGCCCTTCGAGAGGCGATCTTTCAAGCATGTCACGACGACCGGACGTCCGGACACCTTGGATACAGCTGGACAGTGGCTTGCATTCGTGAAAAGTGTTACTGGCGCAAGCTCCCCAAAACCGTCCACCTCTACACCCGATCCTGCCACGAGTGCCAGCGACGCAAGAAATCGCCGACGAAGCCGGCAGGTCTCCTGCAGCCAATTCCTCCGCCAACTGCACCGTTCCAGCAGATCAAAATGGATCTACTTGGTCCTTTTCCGCCGTCGACCCTGGGAAACCGCTGGATAGTCGTCGCCCCAGGTTATGTCACGCAGTACGCGGAAACGAAAGCCCTTCCTTCAGGGACTGTGGTTGAAGTCGCCAAGTTTTTCCTCGAGTCCATTGTCCTCCGGCACGGCGCTCCCGAAGTTCTTACTACAAATCGCGGATCATGATTTATGGCACAACTGACTCGAGAAATCCTCCGGCTCAGTCACACCAGCTATCGTCGTATCACTGCATACCACACTCAGACCAACGGGCTGACGGAGCGACTCAACAAGACAATCGCCGACGTGATCTCTGTGTACGTCAACGTCGAGCTCAAGACGTGGGACGAGGTGTTGCCCTACGTCACGTTTGCCTACAATGCCGCGGTTCAAGAGACCACTGGATTCACACCCTTCGAGCTGGTACGTGATCGGAAGGTATACCGACCATGCTGGACACGATGCTGCCCAATGAGCCAGCTGACAATGAGAGCAGGGACGCCCAGGTGGTTGCTCAACGGGCCGAAGAAGTCGGCCAGCTCGCCCGACTCCTGATTCAAGACGAACAACGCGTCGACGCGGGCCGCTACAACCTTCGTCAGAGGGACGTCCACTTCCAGCCCGGAGACAGGGTGTGGGTGTGGGCGCCCATCCGTCGCCGCGGCCTCATTGAGAAACTGCTTAAACGGCACTTTGGACCATACAAGCTACTTCGTCGCTTTGGGGAGCTGAACTACGAGGTCATACCTGACGGAACAAGAACATCATTACGCCGCCCACTACGACCTGAAGTCGTCCACGTCGTGCTCCTGAAGCCGTACTACGCTCGATAGGACTGTGGATCTTATGTGTTCCAAATGACTCTTTAGTTTCCCGTTATTTTTATTTACTTGTTTGTTTTGTGCTGCATCGGGGCGATGCACTTTTTAGAGAGGGGAGTAATGCCGCGCGTGCAGCTAGCCAAGTACGCAATGCGGCCATGGCCATATTAAACTTTCGACGCTCGACCGAGACGGTTGTGATAACATGAGCTCCGACGGAGCGGTGATAACGGCCGCGTCAGGCCGTGTTACATCTGTCCCTGGAACCGCTGCGGATTATCAGATTATTCTGCCTCAACTGCCAACCGGGTACGTGATTACCAATGCTGTCTTTCTGCATTGTGATGTAAAAGGAAGGCCCTACCGGGTGCAAGACTTTCGTCAGGAACTCGAGCGGCTGGGTGTGTTGAAAGACCTGGCAAGTGCCGGGCCCCACCAGATGAACCACGTCTGGATGTTTAGGATGCATTCGCTGGCTGCCAAGCAAAAACTGATCGACGCCAAGGAACTGACCATCAATGGGGGGCGGTGCCTCGTCATCGACCCGGCGAACACTGCCGTGAAGGTCAAGCTTCACTGGGTCCCGTACGACGTCCCGAATTGCCAGGTGAAAAAGGAGCTGGAGCGTTATGGCAAGGTCTCCGAGATCACCAGAGACCTCTTCCGGGAAAGGGGATTTGAGGCCGTTGAATCCAACACCCGTAGTGTACGCCTGACCCTCAGAGAAGCCTACACCATCGACAGCCTACCCCACGAGCTTCGCCTGGAAGGGTGTAAGGTGCTCGCTGTAGTGCCAGGACGCGGGCCACTCTGCCTTCGGTGTCGTCGTACGGGACACATTCGCCGGGACTGCCGTGTTCCCCGCTGCGCGGACTGTCACCGTTATGGCCACGAGACAGCGGACTGCATCAGGACCTATGCCACAATGGCCCGTGACCGCAAGGCAGGAGACCAGACAGACTACATGATGGACGACACCGAAGCGGAGGAGGCAGTCAGTGCGTCCGCGCCGGCCGTGCCTCATCCATTTAAGGGAGCGACGTCGGACGACCCAGAGGCTGTCCGACTCCCTGTCCCTGAAGCGCAAACGAGTGCTCCTGAGACAACTATGCAAGGCGCAGAAGGAACGGGTGAGAAAGCTAAGAAGACACCTGACGCAAGAGCACCGAGCGACGGCAACGACGGCAGCGGAAGTCAAGGCCCCGCGGTTCCGGTGCCAACCGTTGACGCCGAGATGATCCAGGTTGTCAAGCGAATGAGGGACTCAACGCCATCCATGGAAGACACCGAAGTAGAAGGGACCGGCACGACGACGGAACACAAGCCTAGATTGAAAAAGATTCGTGTCCAGGTCAAGCCTCGTAACTCGCCTGATGACCGTCGGAAAGGCAAACCACAGTGAGTGGCTTGCTGTGAAAACTTGTATTAAGCGATACTGTTTTTTTTTTATTAGCTTTTGTTTAGAGGGTTTTTATTACGATCACGTCGTATGACGCCTTACGTCTCGAGCACGCTGGATATTCGCGAGCCGATTCGGTTCGCAACATTAAATGTACGTACGTGGCTTGAACTCGCGAAAAAAGCAGTACCAGCTGCAACGCCTACTCGCTGACCACCAAATAGACTTTCTTGCTGTGCAGGAAACGAAAATGTCCTCGAATAGCGACATAGAACAAGCGCTATGCCCCCTTTTAGGCAATTATGAGGTGTGTGTAAGCCATGCAGTAGGTATGTCGGCGGGATTTTTTTATTTAATCGCGAATGGCGTGTTATGTGTGTCTATGTACCCAACAAGGGGGGGGGGGGGGGGGGGAGCTAATGAAAAACAGTTTTATTTGAATTCTTAAAATCGTACTTGCAGTGCGATAAGGTCGTCGTTCTAATGGGTGATTTCAATTGCGTCTGCAGCCGGGAAGATAGGGCGTCGACGAGAGAAAACCGAAATATCAGCGCAGAAATGCTCATCGAATTGTTGCAGGAGCACTGTCTTGAAGCATCTTGAAGATGTAGCGCGCGCAAGGGCAATCCGAGGCAGGCTTCATTTTACGTATTATCAGCGGGCATCCCACTCGCGATTAGATCGCATTTACGTATCAACTGAGGTTATCAGCAGGACAGCAGATTATAAAGTGACGCCCATTTTTTTACAGACCACTGTTTAGTGAGCGTGACGCTTGGGAAAAAAGAATCGCGAAAGAATAAGTTTCATTGGCAGCTTTGGAAAATCAACAACACATTGCTAAAGGATGACGACTTTGTCAGAGATGTTAGCGATATTCTGAACAAAATGATCTCAAGGAAAGATACATGTCTCCTTGAAAAATGGGAATACTTTAAGGAAGAGGTTAAGCAAATAGCGATTGAAAGGTCCTCGTATTTACAGCGTGAGGCGAGAAGAGAGGAGAAAGGACTGCAAATTTCTTTTAACGAACTTTTCAAAATTGAAAACAGTAGCCCGGGTGCAGTGGAGGAAGAAATTAAGAATCTAAGGGAGAAGCTGGACTCTTTCCATCAGGAGCGCTACCGCGGAGCAATTGTGCGAGCGCGTGCTGAAAAGTTTTTGTTAGGTGAGCAACCCACGCGGAGGGCTCTAGACGAAGAACGGAAACATGCAATTAGTAATGCCCGCGTCCCACTAGAGCGACAGACGGAGACAAAAGACAGCGACAAGCCTCAAACCCATGCAGCATGCTCGTGATGGTACCTTTGGCAGGCGTTTTGTCGTTCGGTGCTCGCGAAGTAAGCACGAGCGATTGCAAGCCTGCCAAAGACACCCTCGCGTGCATGATGCTCGTGTTTGAGCATAGCCTCCGTTACTCTACAAAGCGTCTCAAATCGCGAAAGGCGCTGGTTTGAGGCTTGTCTTTGTCTTTTGTTTCTGTATGTCGCTCTAGTGGGACACGGGTATGAAGAAATCCCGGCTGTTTACCATGAGGGAGCCACGAGCAGTGATACAGGTTTTATTGAACACGTTTTTACTGATTATTACTCGCAACTATTTGGTGGTGTAAATGTTATTGTAGACAAAGATAAGCTCGCAGTGTTACTGGAGAGAGTACCGCAGCTATCGGATGATGTAAGCGAACAGTTGGAAGAGCCAATCACACTCGAAGAGCTTGAGTGTGCCTTTGACGGCTTGTCGTCTCATAAAACACCGGGGCGTGATGGATTAAGCGGAGAATGTTTTAAGGAATTTAAAAATGCACTTTGCCCTTTTTTTTAGAGGTTATTCGTGAAGCGTATTCTCTTAAAGCTTTGCCGCCTTCTTTTGTAGAGACGCCTGTGCTGATACCAAAGACGCCCGATACTGTGCAGGCAAGACGTGTAACTGAGTATCGACCCATTACATTGTGTAATGTTGACTATAAAATTTTCGCGCGCATTTAACTAGTAGGCTGCAGCATGTTATTCGAGAATTAGTTGGGGAGCACCAAACATGTGGGATTAGGGGCCGATCGATACAGTCAAACATTCATATAGCGCGGTCAATATTTGAGAGTGTTAATAGTGAAGGCGGCCAAGTAGCAATGATTCAAGTAGATATGCAGAAGGCATTTGATCGTGAACAGCCCAAATAACATCATGGTGTTCACCATGATGTTATTTGGGCTGTTCTAAAAAGGGCGAATGTTGGAAAAGTTTTATATGACGGGATACGTATGGCGTACACTGGGTGCATCACTAAACTGGTCGTAAACAATTCTTTAACAACTAAAATACCTGTGTTGTCCTCTGTTAGGCAGGGATGTCCCTTGTCACCTTTATTGTTCTCGTTGTACTTAGAGCCACTTTGTTCAAGTGTCATTCAAAGCAAGAACGTGACCGTTTTTTTTATGGGTTATGTTGAAATCAAAGTATTGTCATACGCGGATGATATCGCACTTTTTTGTGCTGACAAGAAAAGTGTTACGGAAGTTTTAAAGCTGTGCTCTACGTTCTGTGCGGCAACGGGGGCTGCAGTTAACCTAGAGAAATGCTCTGGATTATGGCATGGTGAGTGGGCTACAACGCCAGCACAGTTTGAAGGAATAAGAAAGAGCACGATTCCGTGCAAGTATCTGGGAGCCCCCTTGCAGCACATTAAGAGCACAAAACCGTATTGGGAGAGTGTCGTCGAAGACCTAAGAAAAAAGACATCTTGTTGGCGTAACCGCAATTTGTCCATATTTACTCGCGCGACTGTGTGCAATGTATTTTTAACTGCAAAGATATGGTATGTTCTGCAAGTCATGTGGTGCTCGAGGAGCAGCATCCAGGAGATGCACCGAGTTTTTGCGCTGTTTGTTTGGTTGCGGAATAGTGAACCGATGTGCCGTGACAACCTTTTCCGCCGTGTATCCAAAGAAGGCGTCGGGCTTGGCCATCTTTTTGTTCGGAAAACTGTTTCTCGTTTTCTTTTTCTGAGGGATCAACAGAACCCGCTGTTGCAAGTTATGATACAGACCCGACTAGCAGAAGCCCTACCGTGTTTTTTTATAACTTCAGAGTTTGGCCCACCGGCAAAACTAGTTTGTTTCGTAAAGGAGGTTGTTGATTCTTTTTATTTTTTGAATATAAGATTTTCGCGTGAGTACCTGGCGACTGTCACGCGTAAAAGACTGACGCGAGACCTTCTTGATGTACTTTTTCCTGTGCCACTGTACCGTCTGCAGTACATCTCAGGGCCTGGACAAGATGTACTAGCCCGTGTTAAGAGAGTGTGTGTGCCGCCGGCAGTCAAAACGTTTTTTTTTTCGGCTGCACAGCTCCACCTTGCCAGGAAAGGTCTGGCTTCAGGAGCGTGGGTTGTACGTCCCATGGGGTGTAAACTGCCTGCTTTGCCGACAGCCGGAGACGATCGAACACGTCTTCGTGCACTGTTGGGACGCTGTCTTTTCTTGGGATGCGTTACAGCGAACACTGAAAAAAGATATATGCGTTGACCATTTCACAATTAGGTTTCTTCCAATAGAGAAGGGGGATAACGTGCCATATGACATGTTTATGGCGCTAGGGCCGTACAGTCTGTGGCGGTCACGCTTAGCGGTACGACACGCGGAGGTTCAACCAAAATCGGCGCGATTATACTTTATCGAGCTTGTAGCTCAGGTAAAAAGTGTTCTTGAAAAAACTGAGACCCCGCCTGAGTGGATTGGCCTGCTGAACAAGCTGATGGACATGAGAGAGTTTTAGCACCGCCAACGGGTCCAAGTTAGGGTCCTTAGAGTTTTAACCTTGTGTGTCGTGTTTGTTGTGCTATGTGTGTTTTTACACAATAAAAAAAAAATGCGGTCGTGGCCTAACGGTTATCGTGCCTGCCTCCCACGCGAAGTGCCAGGGTTCGATTCCTGGGATCGACGCGTCTTTTGTTTATCCTTGCAGTTTAGTTTTCTAGTAAATTCGAGAATCCTGTTGCTTGTTCGAGGTGCGAATGTTCTCGTCGCCAAACCTTCTAGGCCGATTGTTCTAGAAGTCAACGCGTGTACATAAGGGGCTCCGCATGGCGATCCTCAGTCAGTCTCGCCCCACCGTTCGACTCTGCTGTTAAACCGACTTCGACGCCCGCGACGCTCTGCTGTTATCTTCTGTTTCCTTTTTATTTTTGGGCACAAGTTCGCCTCATTAAACATTTCAGTTTCCCCCATTTATTCTCTGTTTCCTCGCCTGTGCCTTCGTGACAATATATGGCGCAATATACAATTTTGCTTATGAATCAACCTCGATGTGCAATTACGAACAGTTCAAAGAGATTCACTCTCACAGATTATTACTTCAGCTGCATCCGGCACAGAGGATATTTGATTATCTCCTGCAAGAGCGACCTTCTTTGATTGTTCACAATAGCCGGAGTATTGCTGGCCGAGTGCTCAAGCCCAGACCAGCTCGGAGCAGGTGGAGAGAAAGCTCACGCTGAAGAACCCAGGATGCTGGGCTCAATGCCCACCACTGATCGTTTTGATCTGAATGAGCATCGTACTAGCGTGCGGTCGTGTTGAATCACTACTGCAAGATGCACGTTAAAGGCCCCAGGCTAGCGGTTGTACTGCACTGGCTAAATTTCTTATCTACAGCTGAGAGACTCGTCGCCCGTTTAGGAAGACCAAGTTCCAGACTGTACAAACATACACACAACCCAGTTTATTTATATATATATATATAAGTATACAAATATATTTGCAGTGCTACACTCTCCATCTCAATGAGATGGAGAGTGTAGCAGTCGATTTTCTTTCGGCACTTGTCCACAGAAAGCACAGCACCGTAACTGACACATTTTAGTGCTCCTGATCTTTAAATCTCGCTCTTACGACACACTCATGTAGCGTATTTGGCAACGAACATAACAACGAACTCTAACGCTACCGGCTCACACGCCTGCCAGAGCATATTTCATGCAGAAAGAAATACGGAAACCGGGTGTTC